GATGCTGATGCTGATGCTGATGCTGATGCTGATGATGATGATGATGATGGTGGTGATGATGATGATCATGATGATGATGATGATGATGATGATGATGATGATGATGATGATGATGATTATATTTATGATGATGCTGCTGCTGATGATGATGATGGTGATGATGATGATGCTGATGATGATGATGATGATGATGATGATGATGATGATGATGATGATGATGATGATGATGATGCTGATGCTGATGCTGATGCTGCTGCTGATGATGATGATGATGATGATGATGATGATGATGATGATGATGATGATGATGATGGGAGGAGGGGGTGAGCTGAGACATGCGGAGAGCAAAGGCAAGGATGGGGGATGAGGGAGGAGGAGAAGAGGAGGAGGAGGAAGGAGGAGGTGGGACGCGGGGCGCTGTCTCTTCAAAACGAGGACCCAACACCACCGGATGGTTGGGGAAAACACTCTCTTGATCTCACAAGCGATCTCACGATCGATCTTACAGCTGACCTCACCATCGATCTCCCAATGGATCTCTCCACATCGATCTGACAATCGAACTCACTACCGATCTCACATTCGGACTCACTATCGATCTCAACATTTCTCACGATCGGTCTCACCATCGATCCCACCATCGATCTCACAATCGATTTCACACTCGATCTCACAACCGATACCACAATCGATCTCACTATCGATCTCACCGCTGCGCCACCGACGGGACACCCCGCGCCACCGAGGGGACACCCCGCGCCACCGACGTGACACCACCGCTCCATCGACGGGACACCGACGGGACGCCGCCGCGCCACCGTCTGCGCACCCCCTGCCACCGCGCGCCGGGGGGCCGGGGGGGCGGACAACCAGCTCCACAGCCCCTCAGCCACGGCGGCGCCAATCCCTTCGCGCGCCCACGCAGCTTCGCTTCGCCCGCACGCACGTCACGAACACGAGTCCGAAACCGATTATCTGGTGGGTGGCTCTCTGTTCCACTGCGATCTCACCCCCTCGCCTCCCATGTACACATATACATACAGATGTACGCATTACCTTTTTATTTTTTTGTTGCCTCTTCCTCCGCCCAGTTCTCCTCCTCCCACTCCTCCTCCTCCTCCTCCTTTTCCTCCTCCTCCCTCTTCCATCTGTGGTCCTTATTCAAATGTATTACTCTTGGGACACGTAGCTGGCATAGACAGCTTTTTGGAGCCGCGTCCAGCCGTGGCGATGAGAATGTGCAGAAACGCTCAAAGTGGCGGCGGCGCGGCGGCGACGGCAACGACGTTGAGGGGTTGTAGCGGCGACGGCAACGGCGGCGACGGCTGCGGCGGCGTCGGCGCTGACGGCGCGTCCCCCGAAGGGCGTCGCCTCGCCCGAAGACGACTGCCCACCGCGCCGCAGCGCGGGCGTGCTACACAGCAGCATCCCCGGGGAGCGACGCTTCGTCTGCACGCAGCACTGGGCGCCCACCCCAGGACTCGCGGGGGCTTAGCTGCCTCGGTACGCCCGTTGTGAGACGCAACGCGTGCCGTTTTTAACACGTCCGTGTCAATACGTTGCGTGTTGGCTCAGCGTATTGGCCCACGTTTTAGCGAACGTGTCGTGTCATGCCTACGGTTTCGATCTACGTGTTGAGCTCCGTGTCAATACGCTACGTGTTGCGCGTTGCGTACCGGGGCAGCCAAACGCGGGGGCCGCGCCCCCCTCTCTGCTCTTTCGCGACGGGCGGGGGCGCATGCTCCGATCCTCGCGGCGCCGCGGGCGTTCTCGATGCGTGGGCCCCCGGGCCTCTCGGCCCCTTCGCCTCGCCCGCCCCCTTCCCCTCCTCCTCCTCCTCCTCCTCCTCCTCCTCCTTCTCCTCTTCCCCCTCCTCCTCCCCTTCCTCCTCCTCCTCCTCCTCCTCCTCCTCCTCCTCCTCCTCCTCCTCCTCCTCCTCCTCCTCCTCCCTCCGAGTCGTGCTCTGACTGAGGCCAATGATCACGACGCGCCGGACGCCCCGATTCTCTCGAGGTGCCTGATGTCTGGGGCGGCCTTTGCAGCAGGTGTGTCGAAGGTGCTCCAACGTTGTCGAACGTTCCGACGGTTTCTCGGAGGCGTCGTGGTGAGCACCAGGTTCCTCGCGCCAGGTCCTGCGGCCGCGCCTGCGTATAGGGGAGGAGGGGGGGAGAGAAGTGCGGGCAGGGGAGCGGCGGAGGAGGGTATCCCGCATGTCCTCGCAGGGAGGGGCGTGATAGGGGTGAGGTGGGGTGCGGGAGGAGGGGAATGAGGATGAGGAGGAGAGGGAAGAGGAGGAGGAGGAGGTGGACGTATGATGATGATGCTGCTGCTGATGATGATGGTGATGGTGATGGTGATGGTGGTGGTGGTGATGCTGCTGCTGATGATGGTGGTGCTGATGATGATGCTGCTGCTGATGATGCAGATGATGATGGTGATGAAGATGATGGTGATGATGATGGAGAAGATGAGT